GGACCACTTTCAAGCTGTATGTGTGAAATTCTCCCATTCTACTGTATTCATCAGCAGAGATGACTGGCCCAGAAGCATTTTTGCTAATATGCAAAACGGTTTTAGTGAGGCAGATGTATCTGCTGCTCAAAAATGCAATGATTACATGTTCCACAGCTAGCTGGTAAGGACTCCCTCTTCTCGGAAATGGCTTTCATGATGTTGCTCAGTTCAAGTTCAGCAAGGATCAGTCATTGGTCAGTCTTGTGTCTTCTGTTATTTTTGGTCATTATATTTTTGTTTTTACTTTTTTTTTTTTTTTTGCTTTAATTTTAAGTTATTTTATTTAACCAAGATCTCCCTGATCTGCCTGTGGGCTTTTCTTAGCAAGGTCTAGCAGTACTGAGAAGGAAGAGCAGGTCTGGAGGTGGATGAAGCTTAATTCAGTTTTTCTACCATTTTACCTTTTCCAACACTGTGAAGAGATTTACACGAGTGCCATCCACAGCTTACTGTTGAATTATTTTATCACCCCTCAATGCAGCAGAAAATAGATTCCAATAGTGCAATGAAGATGAAGCCAACCAGAGGAAATAAAAGTAAGGAAATGCATGAGTCTTGATGTATTTGTAAATGACTCTCTGGGAGAAGAAAAATGCACTTGTAAAAATAAACTCAGTACAAGGTCTATTAAAAATCAAATTTTATGAAAAATGTAAAAATCCTTTAGTCATTTTTGTTCCAAGTCAGAATAAGTCTTTATTTGTTCAAGTGGCTTTTGTATAATATAGTTCCGCACATTTTCAAAAACTTTACATGTTTGTGTTCATCCTTGCTCATTCTTCTCTTTTGTCCATTGAAGGCATAGAGGAAGAGGTTTTTAATCTTTTTTCCTTTTTTCCTTTTATTCTCTTTCTATTTTTGTCACAATCTCTTGCCAAATTTGATAAATATATTAAGATCAAGTAAGATTAAGATCAACTCTGAGAGTAAAAAAGATAAAGGTTTTACGCATTACTATTAATATTTACAAAAAACAACCAACCAAACAAAAAAGCCACACAAAAACACTGTAAATGTTTAACAATATTTAATAATATTTAATAAACAATCTCCAACTCTTAGCTTCCTTCGTGGTATTCTGCTACGTTCAGTGACTTTTACTTCCTTGTGCAATAAGCACAGTGTAAATGAGTTGACAGATTTGAAAATCCATTTTGTTTTTATCCTCATAACAATGGAGAATATGGTCATGGAAACAAAGACCTTCTTTATTTATGGGCTTGTGAGTGTGTACGCAGAGATCCTTTGCCAAGCTTTTCTGTCAGCACATTTCATATGTAACATGTTTTGATTTTCCTCATTGCCACAAGATTATCCACTGCCAGCTTTGGTGCCCTGCAAAGCGAATGTGGAGGACCTAGGAGCTCCCTGTTGCCTGCATCACTCAAAAAACAACATACTGGCATGCTACCAAGAAGAGGTGTACTTTTTCTGACAGCATAAATTCATCCTAGTCTGAGCCATTTCAGTCCTTTTGTTCTGAACTTTCCTCCCTTCTGAGTGCTCATTCTCCCTTCTCTTACGGTATGGTGGGCACTGTGGCTTATGCTGCAAAACCGCTCTTTTGCTTGCGACGTTTTCTACCAGATCAGCATCCTGAAAGTTGCTCATTGCATAAAGAAATGAGCATTACATTCTGCACAAGAAAAAGTAAAATGCCCTCTAAATAATTAGTAGTGACAGCAATACCTGAAACACAGCTGTTGATTTTGATGCTAGTAGCTGGGATGGAGGTTGCCTGCTAAAGGGTGAGTGATCTTTTTTTATAGATAAGTATAAAATACACCAATGATTTTTCAATGGATCTGAGTCCAGATGATTGAAAATATCTAGTGTTTTATTTTTTCTCTTGTACAAAGGTGTTGAAAAAGCAATCAGGAACTTGGTTGGCAAGTCACTTCCATTTCAGGTAACCCAATATCATGCAGCCACCCAGTTAGTGGAAATTTTATTTTGAATTTGTTGACTAAAATGGGAAGGAGTTCAGCTGCTGCTAAGAGGATAGACAGCAGGAACTGCTGAACAGGGAGCAGGAAAGAGAGGGATGGGGGCTGGAGATGAGTGCCCTGGACAATCAAGTTCCTCATGTCTCTTCTCAGAGGGATGAGGAGACCGAAAGAGGAGGACTTGAAGAAATAACAGATCATCAACAGAACAAGAAAAGCCATAGGTTGACAATGCTATTTGGGAAAACCTTGCTCTTCCTCAGACAGAACTGAGCTTCCAGGATGTTGATTTTAGGCTTGCAGAGCTCCAGGATTAGTTTTTTTTACCTGGAGTTTCTAAATAAAGCTGGTTTGCTGCTGGAGGAGCTGACCTTCGCTTTCTCCAGCTGCTGAAGGTCAGATCCCAGTGCAGAGGAGTTCTCATCTTGGAGCGCACCAGTAAGATGTGATGCTGGCGTGCTTTTATGTTCAGACTCACTTAACAAGTGCAAATTAGCTGATTTCCCTTCTAGCTGAGAATGGAACAAGTGAAGTTGCTACACAGTAGCATAAAGCATATGACATAAAACTCAGTGCAAAGTGGCATAGGAGGGGAAGGTTGATTTAGTTTTAAAATGAAATGACTGTTTTTATGTGGTCCTATTGCTACAGCTGCAGAAGCACCAAGAGAAATTTGTCCCAGTTTTTGTGTGTGTGCTACTTGTGATGACATGGAGCATAAAAGTCGCTGGTTTCATGTCTCCAGGATTCTCCTTCAGTTAGTGCCCCTTAGTTTTGGATGCATCTTCTGTATGCTTTTGAAGCTGACAGTGATATTGTTTTTATTCTGTCCACCTCTGCCAGTCACTAGGATTTAACCTTTTTTTGTCTCCTTTTGTAGCTGTTTTGTGCCTCCACCCCTGTTCTTTATCTTCCCACAATGGCTTGATGCTGTAGATCATCCTTTTATTTAGTCTTGATGGAGGCCATCCCTTTGTTTTAGGTTGTCCCTTGTTTGTTCTGTCTTCTAATCTGAATTTCCTGAGAAGCTTCATGTTGATGTGCTTGATGACATTGATCTAGGTGCTGCCAATACCTGCCACACTTACAGTAAAGCTCCTGCTATGCATTTCTTTTGGTACTTCTACTCACAGACCAACCTTTTCATTCTCCACTCAGGTCAATCTTAATGTTTCCATTACAAATGGAAATGTGAAAGGCAAACTGAAGAAGTGTAGCTTTCTTCAAATCCAATTCGTGGCATTTTGACTTCTCTTTCCAGTGAGCCCACGTCCTCCTCACAAAGTTAAAAACTCAAGCTTCCTTTCTGCTACTGGGAATTACTGTACCTCAGTAATCTTAAGTACTGTCCCTTGTTACTGAATCCCGCACAGCATCTAAATTTTGTAAATGTGGACTCCATGAGTGGCCTTGATCACTTTTGGTTCCCACTCAAACTGTAGTTGTATTAAAATTGGGAACTTGAGAGCGTTCTCGGACGATTTTCTTGCTGTCTGAGCCTTTGAGTAGATTCTTCCGCGTATCTTGCTGAAAGCGTTGGCACATCTCAATTTGTATTTGCTGATGGTGGAGATTTTCCTGGTTCTGTGATAGTTTTCATATAAAATAGTTCTTGATTTCAAAGAGGAATAAGGCTAGCCAAATGTTCTTTTCCTGTTTGCAAGTAATTTTTGTGCAGTTGCATTCAGAATAGAAAATATAGAAGGTGACTTTTGTTTTTTAAATAGAAGATATCCCAGCAGGAAATACCACATCTCAACTGCTCTGAAATCCCCCGAACCATACAGTCATCCTGCCAGGGGTGATAAGGAGCCCCAGGTGGAGGGGAGAGGGGATGAAATCCTCTCATGAGTGTCATGCAGGCTGCGCTGAGCAGGATTGGCCAAAGACTGGCGAGTTGGGTCCTCCATGGGCCTGGTAACTTTCTGGAAGAGTAGAAAATTCCTTCCCACCTCTAGCCCCTGTTTTTTGTTTGGGGATTGTTTTATTTTTATTTTTTTTAAATGAAGTGCTAGTGAGTTAAACTTCTGGAGAAGCCCAACAAATGCCCCAACCTCCCTGCTCTTTGGCATGAAATAAGAGTGGCAAGAGAGGAGTGAGAGGGTGTCTAGAGTGGAGTGGGAATTTCCACTTTCCATCAGGAATGAGTTCAGTAGGGGGAGATCATTGCAGCAGAAGAAATGGTGCGATTTGGCAAAATTGCAGTAAAGCACAGTAAAGCTGGTTGCGCAGTTAGATGCTGTTAGAAACTGAGGTCTTGCTGCTTTCCTCCAAAGCCCAGAATGTACGTTTCCTTTGCTCTGCTTCCAACCTCTGCAGAATAGCAAAGGAATGAACCATGTAGAAAACTAAACCAAAACAATGATACCAGGAACAACAACAAAACACACCAAAAGCCAACAAACAAATTGAAAAGAAACACAACAAAATCTACCAAGCAAATAAAACCCCACATTTTTGTGCAACTTTAGTTCTGTGAGTTTGGCACAGCTTTGGCTCAGACAAGCAGTAACAGAAGAGATGCAGCAGGAGGGTTTGGGTGAAGCTAGTGGCCGTCTTCTTTTGGTGGAGGTGAACTCCCTCCCTGCCTAAGCTCCCCATTTTCTCCAGCAATATCCTATCTGGTAGTAGGGATCACTTAAACATCATCCTAAATCTTTCAGTGAAGCTAAACACTTACTCATTTGCTTTTACCACTATTGCAGTTTTGTGATTTTTTTAAAACTCTTGTATATATGTATAAATCTATACATTATCACCATCATTGTAATTTATCAGTCGATTGCTAGATTTCAAAATTCTCAGATGGATTTTCTGGAGAAACAGTCTTTCGCAAAACAATTTTTCAGTGCTGTAGATATTTGCAAGATCTGGATTGCTCTTGAACTAGCAACGATCTCGTGTTTCCTTCCACAATAGCACAGCTTGCCAGCATGCTATCAAATTAATGTATGTGAAAATATGTTAAAGAGTAAAACTGGAATTAAGAAAATAATTTTCTGCTTTACTAGCTCTGCGTCCCTGTGACATCTCAAAAGGCTATGTAGAAGGGTAGGGGGAAAGTGAGTTTAAAGCAAGCTATTCAACTGCCACCTCTGCCACCTGAATATTGTCAGAGAATATAGGGACTCCAAGTGAGTAATAATGCAAGTCCAAGGTAGGACAGGTCAGAGAGAAGCTTTTTTTAAACTATGATTGTATTGAAAGCACATTCAGACAGCAACTCCCCCTATACCCCTGTTCTTTGCCAAGTGACTGCAGAGACCTGACTATGCTGTTTCAAAGAAAAGGAAGAGGTAAGGAGAAAAAATCATTCTAATGCAAACAAAGCTAGGTCTACATCCTTGGGATGGATGGACTCCAGAAGATAACTTACATGTTAACAAGGCATGTACCCATGCATGGGGGAGATGGCAGTTAACAAGGTACTTGAGGAGTTCACAATTGTGACAATATGGAGATGGCTCTTGGTGGAGCCTGTAAGAGTGGCACATCCAGTATGATCTTAGCTGAGAAGTGGGGATTGGAAACCATCACAGACTGCTAGCTTTTAATCAAAAAAGGCTGTTTTAGTTATTGCAAACTTCTTAGCAAGACCTCTACTATCTTGAATAGTAATATTTTTGCTATCAAAATATGTCACATGGAAACCCTTTGGAAGACTACTGTATATTAGACTCACTACACAAGTAAACAAAAATGTACAATGCAGCAAGAAAAATTTCTACAGTCTTTCCATCACAAAATGTTTGATGTGCTTTTATTATTGTGATCCGGTTGACTTCTAGAGAGTAAAGAAAGACAAGAGTCATGAGACTAAATTTTATCAAGGTGGTTGCTGATCAATGGACTTTTGAACCAGAGCAGGAAGTAGAAATAGAAAAAGGAAAAAGCTCAAGAATTCTGATCCTTGAGGGTGATATCAATTACTTCTCACTTCTGATGGGGTGTTTCGCAAGACTTCTGTGCGAGCTATAAATCTGGGTGAGTTGCATCGTGTGACTGAAAGCAGCAGACTGGAGGAAGTGCCAACAACTCTCCACATCTGAGAAGCTGGCATTGAGGTGAGATGCACACTTTTTATGTGAAAGCTTTAAATATCTTTCTGGGTAGCTACTATGAAATGAAGTTGAAGAGGTTTTAGTTTGGGATGAGAGCTACAACATGTATGTGTGGATCTGATGTCTGTCATTTACAGAGGCTTGATGCACCCTTCAGGTAATGAGAAGAGCACTATAGGATAACCATACCTAGTAAAGCGAGGGCTTGGAAGGAGACATTACTACAGAAATTCCAAGGGGTGAAATAAAATACTTTACAAGAGAATCTTGGGACTAGAATCTGTATGTTGTCAGAAATTAACAACTTTATTTAATATTAATGTTATTATTACTAGCAGTAGTAGTACAGACAAGTCAATAAACATCATCAAAGTCATTGTAGTCATAAAATAGTGTTCTAGCAACCAATAAATTGCACTTTCATTTAGAAGTTAACTGAATGTTTCACTAGTTTTTTACATACTATATAGTGAGTTGTGAACTGCTGTCAAAACAGCCCACACCTATTTCTAAAGTAATTCTCAAATGCAGTGTCAGTCATGAATTGAAAGACTCATTGTAAGAGACTAAGAAGCTAAAACAAAAGAATGTCCCAAAAACTCAACAGAAAAGCGTGATATGGTCAGAAAAGAGGATCCTGCTAGGGCTGGATAGTGCTTTTCTGAGGCCAACGTCCTTATCCTGGGTAACCTTCTGAGATACCTTCTGGTATCTGAGGTTCTGGCAGCTGTGGTCAGAAAGGTATTAGCAATCTCTCTCTCCGCCTTCCCCTCAAGAAGGCTCTGGGACACAGGATGCACATATTACCATATAAAGCAGGAACTGGAGGTGGGGACTAGCTGTAATTAGGATACAAAGTGAGAACTGGAATTGAGTCCGGCGTATAAATAGTGTGACTCAGAAGGGCTTTGTGTGCACCCACCACCATCGCAGACAGAACAGGAACTGGACCAGAGACATCGCTGGAACCCAGGGTGGTAATCTGGACCTTTCCTTTACCATCTTTCTCTGTCTCCCTCTCTTTCTCCTATGCTACGGCCCATTCAGCCCTCTGTGAAATAATGAGATGTAAATAGCTCCCATTATAGATAGGAAGGTTTGATCAATTTCTGCAAGAATAGCTCTTGTTATTTTATTAACTTTTGCTAAATGTTAATAACACCAAACAATAGTTTGAAAAGTTTTATATCACTTAAATTTACTCCAAGATAGTTACACAACTAAGACCTGATAGATTTGATGCATATCTCATTTTACTCTTAATTTTTCCTTCCAAATTCAAATTTATGCATCATGCCCTCAGTTTCGTCCAACAGCTGTTTTATTCATTCCTTGCTATAACTGTTCTAATTGTCCCATTCTTCTTTTTCCCTCTCCATTGCCTTGCGTCTTTTGTGGAAGGGCTTCTTACAAGTATTGTTTGTTTTCTGTTTTCCTTTTCTGCAGGCTGTCATCTGACATCTACAGCAACAACTCCAAATTACAGAAACACTGCTGAGATGGGGAAAATCATCATTTATGAGCACGCCAACTTCCAGGGGCACTCCAAAGAACTCACCAGAGACGTTGCCAATCTGACAGATGTAGATTGGAATGACTGTATCTCCTCAGTGAAAGTAATTGGACAGCCTTGGGTGGCTTATGAGCACATTAACTATACAGGCCGGTTACTGGTATTTGAGGAGGGAGAGCATAGCTTTGTTGGTAAAGAGATGAATGACAAGATCACTTCCCTGATGTTGATTACTGAAAATTTACACAATCCACAGATCACTATCTATGAACATAACCAATATCAAGGGAAGAACAGGGTGATAACAGAAGCTACCAATTTGGATAGGGGTAATGACAATGACATGGCATCTTCTCATAAAGTGCAGCAAGGTGCCTGGCTGTTGTGTGAACATAGTGATGGAAGTGGTTTTTGCTACATTGCACGAGAGCATGAACACCTTCCAAGTTACAGAGCAATCAATTTCAATGACAAGCTTTCATTTCTGCGTCCCCTTCTCCCTGGAAAGCATTGTCACTGATGGATTGCAAATTCTGAAGTCCTAAGGGTAGGTGTAGCCCTAGCAAGAAAGATGGGACCTAGATCTCTCTGCTTTTTTTTTTTTTTTTTTTTATTTCCCCTTTTGGCATAGAAATACTGAATGGGAGAGGTCTCCTTTATGCTATGCTGCTGCTGTGTATTTCTCAATCCTGTGTGGCACTGTTCTCCTTCCCCATGATCCCAATGAATGTAAGAACTATTGTGTTTAGTTACATGAAAAAAACCTCAATGATAAGAGATGATCTTGTGGTGCGTAACCTGTAACTAGCATTCCAAAGTACTACACCATGTAACGTGAAAATGTTGCATGTTGCTTCTGTTGCTATATGCTAAGCACATATATAGTGTATAACCAGAACTGCTGACTTTATATTCTTCTTTACAATGCTCTTGCTTCACAATGACCTCTGCATTTTTTTTCTATTCCATTTTGCGTTGTTACCAATAAAGAAGATATTGCAGGCAACAATGGCTCTATTTTATGTCTTCTTTGTGGTTTGACAGAGAAATATTACCCTTATATATTATGTGATTTCTGTGCGTTAAGAGAATGGTTCACACAGTCAGATCCATGAAAAAGATTTTGAAGTCTTCTGAAAGGTTTTATTTCCTTCCATTTTCATTTGTCGGTAATGTTAGTTTCAGGCATGACTCAGTGTGATGTCACTTAATGGTCATCTTGTTAAGTCACTGTCTTATTTATGATTAAGTTTGTTAGATCATTGCATTATATCAATAAATATATTGCTGCTTCCCTCCCATGAGGGAAGTGTGTAATTCCATTTGTGACATTCAACCAGTCTTAAAGTCTTGGTGAGCATGCTAATATTGCTATCAACATGGCCAAACACAAACTTGGAAACTTTACTGAATGATCACAATACTGATTGTGTCCTAAGGCACTGATCATACTTACAATTTATTGTCTTCTATGCTCTCAAATATATATTCAAACGGAAATTTCTGATAAATTGTAATTGATTGGTTGACCGCAATAGGAACTCCTGAGGATTTTTAAACCCTTTTTATCTTGATATGAGATGATGTATTATTTTGAAGTCACAGTGTTTTAATCAGAATGGAAAAACCCTTTCTTCCAAAGAAACCCTTTCTTCAAAGCCATTATAATAATACTGAGAAATTTTGAAATATTGAAATATGCAAGGTGTAATTAAAGATGTGGGATCACACATTTCAGAAACTGTTTTGTCATATACAGGTTTACCTGGAGAATGCAGAATTGCAGTTTTGAAATACCCCTGTTGAATGTCAGTTGCACTCTCTTTTTTGGCAGTTGTGCAGCTCTGTATTGCAAAGTTCATCTATCTGAGTGCTGAGCTCCTGTTTGCCACTCTGTTCTTGTAGTTAGAAGTAAAACTTACAGCATGCTGTGCTATCATCTGCTGGGCTTTGTCCTGTTTTAAAACAAACGTCAGTCACTTGTGGTCCTTTTCTAGGCTTGTGTGTGTGGATGCAAATGTACAATATACAAATATACACCTTCTTGGAGCTGTTCAAGACCAGGTTAGATGATGCTCTGAGCAACCTGATCGAGTGGGTCGTGTCCCTGCCTATGGCAGGGGAATTGGAGCTAGATGATCTTTAAGATCCCTTCCAACTGAAGCCATTCTATGAATCCATGATTCTATGATCGTTCAGGGTTCATGTGTGATGGGACACTTCTTACTACTTTGGAGACAATTTCTGGTTTCCTTGCTTTACTCACCACAGATCTTCTTTTATAGGGATTCCAAAACTCAATTCAAAGAACACTGAGAATTGTATCTACTCTAGGCCAAAATAATTTGGACACTGAGAAATTTTCGGAGAAAGCCAACTGTAAAGAAAGGAACCAAATAGTTAAATCCCTTAAACACTTCCAGGGATGGGGCATGCACAACTGCCCTGGGCAACCTGTTCCAGTGCCTCACCACCTCTGAGAGAAGAATTTCCTCTTAACTTCTAATTTAAACCTCCCCTCTTTTAGTTTAAAACCATTACTCCCAGTCCCATTGCTACACGCTTTGATGAATAGTCCCTCCCCAGTTTTCCTCTTTCCTTTAAGTATTGGAAAGCCCCTATAAGGTTTCCCCTGGTCCCTCTTAAACTAGGCATAATATAGAGTAAAAACAGTGATTCCAATATAAACAATCATTTGAAAACGGTCATAGAGGGCATTCTTACTTATCCACAGTGAAGTACAATAGACCTTTGAAGAGAATTCTGAATAAGGAAAGCTTATAACCTGTGTTATTCTAGAAAGAGATGTCTAGAGAAGGATCAAACAGGATGCACATCTCTAAGAATTGATACACAAACAGGCTGAACTTCTCTGTGCTTAATTAGAAATGTCTGCAGAGCAAGTTCAGACATGTTTGGCTAATCAGAACATAAAATTTAGGCTTAAGGTCAGGACTTCTCTGAACAGAAACAGCTTGATGATTAAGCATACCCACTTATTTTGTTTCAATGCAGTGTTATATTGCTGAAGAAATAACTGGATGAGGGTGGAAAGGCCTTGCAGAGAGAGCGGGACAGATTGGAGAGCTGGGCGATCACCACCCACGTGAAGTTTAACAAGAGCAAGTGCCGGGTCCTGCACCTGGGATGGGGCAACCCTGGCTATACGTACAGACTGGGTGACAAGACGCTGGAGAGCAGCCCCACAGAGAGGGATCTGGGGGTTGTGGTTGACAGCAAGTTGAATGTGAGCCAGCAGTGTGCAGCCAGGAGGGCCAACTGTATCCTGGGGTGCATCAAGCACGGCATCACTACTTGGTTGAGGGAGGTGATTGTCCCGCTCTGCTCTGCGCTGGTGTGGCCTCACCCCGAGTACTGTGTGCAGTTCTGGGCACCACAGTCCAAGAAGGACATGAAACAGTTGGAGAGTTCCATAGGAGGGCGACAAAGATGGTGAAGGGCCTGGAGGGGAAGACGTATGAGGAGTGGCTGAGGGCACTGGGCCTGTTCAGCCTGCAGAAGAGGAGGCTGAGGGGGGACCTCATCGCAGTCTACAACTTCCTTGCAAGGGGGAGTGGAGAGGCAGGTGACCTATTCTCTAAACACCAGCGATAGGACCCACGGGAATGGTGTTAAGCTGAGTCAGGGGAAGATTAGGCTGGACATCAGGAAGAGGTACTCCACTGAGAGAGTGGTTGCACACTGGAACAGGCTCCCCAGGGAAGTAGTCACTGCACCAAGCCTGTCTGAATTTAAAAAGCAATTGGAGTGTGCACTTAGTAACATGGTCTAAACTTTTGGATAGACCTGTGCGGTGCCAGGAGTTGGACTTGATGATCCTTAGGAGTCCCTTCCAACTCGGGGTATTCTCTGATACTATGATTTCTTATGACTTGATGTATACTGGGGTATTAGACAGTCTTTTTGCAGGCTCTGTGACTGAAATGAATTTACAATTAGACTTCTGTAAAAGAAAACCAGACAACCAGTGGACAGGCTGTGGAGACATACCTGAAAATATGAACCAGCTAGTCTCCAATGCTGGCAGTCTAATGGGAAGAATCATGTAATGAATATCTTAAAATCACTTGCTTTTCAGTGCAATACTGAAAGTTAAAAGGGTAGCATCTCAGCTACGATTATGTAGTGTTTGGTTGCTTGTTTTTAAAACAGTGTACGGGTTGGATGAAGTGGAAAAATACTGGGGTTGTTAATGGTCATGACTGGTGTTGTCTTTTGTCTATAGTAGTAAATCTAGATAATTGGGGCTGGCGGTTATGTCTGGACCACTTTCAAGCTGTATGTGTGAAATTCTCCCATTCTACTGTATTCATCAGCAGAGATGACTGGCCCAGAAGCATTTTTGCTAATATGCAAAACGGTTTTAGTGAGGCAGATGTGTCTGCTACTCAAAAATGCAATGATTACATGTTCCACAGCTAGCTGGTAAGGACTCCCTCTTCTTGGAAATGGCTTTCATGATGTTGCTCAGTTCGAGTTCAGCAAGGATCAGTCATTGGTCAGTCTTGTGTCTTCTGTTTATTTTTGGTCATTATATTTTTGTTTTTACTTTTTTTTTTTTTTTTTTTAATTTAAGTTATTTTATTTTAACCAAGATCTCCCTGATCTGCCTGTGGGCTTTTCTTTGCAAGGTCTAGCAGTACTGAGAAGGAAGAGCAGGTCTGGAGGTGGATGAAGCTTAATTCAGTTTTTCTACCATTTTACCTTTTCCAACACTGTGAAGAGATTACATGAGTGCCATCCACAGCTTAGTGTTGAATTATTTTATCACCCCTCAATGCAGCAGAAAATAGATTCCAATAGTGCAATGAAGATGAAGCCAACCAGAGGAAATAAAAGTAAGGAAATGCATGAGTCTTGATGTATTTGTAAATGACTCTCTGGGAGAAGAAAAATGCACTTGTAAAAAATAAACTCAGTATAAGGTCTATTAAAAATCAAATTTTATGAAAAATGTAAAAATCCTTTAGTCATTTTTGTTCCAAGTCAGAATAAGTCTTTATTTGTTCAAGTGGCTTTTGCATAATATAGTTCCGCACATTTTCAAAAACTTTACATGTTTGTGTTCATCTTGCTCATTCTTCTCTTTTGTCCATTGAAGACATAGAGGAAGAGGTTTTTTATCTTTTTTCCTTTTATTTTCTTTCTATTTTTGTCACAATCTCTCGCTAGATTTGATAAATATAATAAGATCAAATAAGATTAAGATCAACTCTGAGAGTAAAAAAGATAAAAGGTTTTACGCATTACTATTAATATTTACAAAAAACAACCAACCAAACAAAAAAGCCACACAAATACACTGTAAATGTTTAACAATATTTAATAATATGGAATAAACAATCTCCAACTCTTAGCTTCCTTCGTGGTATTCTGCTACGTTCAGTGACTTTCACTTCCTTGTGCAATAAGCACAGTGTAAATGAGTTGACAGATTTGAAAATCCATTTTGTTTTTATCCTCATAACAATGGAGAATATGGTCATGGAAACAAGGACCTTCTTTATTTATGGGCTTGTGAGTGTGTACGCAGAGATCCTTTGCCAAGCTTTTCTGTCAGCACATTTCATATGTAACATGTTTTGATTTTCCTCATTGCCACAAGATTATCCACTGCCGGCTTTGGTGCCCTGCAAAGCGAATGTGGAGGACCTAGGAGCTCCCTGTTGCCTGCATCACTCAAAAAACAACATACTGGCATGCTAACAAGAAGATGTGTACTTTTTCTGACAGCATAAATTCATCCTAGTCTGAGCCATTTCAGTCCTGTTTGTTCTGAACTTTCCTCCCTTCTGAGTGCTCATTCTCCCTTCTCTTACCGTATGGTGGGCACTGTGGCTTATGCTGCAAAACCGCTCTTTTTGCTTGCGACGTTTTCTACCAGATCAGCATCCTGAAAGTTGCTCATTGCATAAAGAAATGAGCATTACATTCTGCACAAGAAAAAGTAAAATGCCCTCTAAATAATTAGTAGTGACAGCAATACCTGAAACACAGCTGTTGATTTTGATGCTAGTAGCTGGGATGGAGGTTGCCTGCTAAAGGGTGAGTGATCTTTTTTTATAGATAAGTATAAAATACACCAATGATTTTTCAATGGATCTGAGTCCAGATGATTGAAAATATCTAGTGTTTTATTTTTTCTCTTGTACAAAGGTGTTGAAAAAGCAATCAGGAACTTGGTTGGCAAGTCACTTCCATTTCAGGTAACCCAATATCATGCAGCCACCCAGTTAGTGGAAATTTTATATTGAATTTGTTGACTAAAATGGGAAGGAGTTCAGCTGCTGCTAAGAGGATAGACAGCAGGAACTGCTGAACAGGGAGCAGGAAAGAGAGGGATGGGGGCTGGAGATGAGTTCCCTGGACAATCAAGTTCCTCATGTCTCTTCTCAGAGGGATGAGGAGACCGAAAGAGGAGGACTTGAAGAAATAACAGATCATCAACAGAACAAGAAAAGCCATAGGTTGACAATGCTATTTGGGAAAACCTTGCTCTTCCTCAGACAGAACTGAGCTTCCAGGATGTTGATTTTAGGCTTGCAGAGCTCCAGGATTAGTTTTTTTACCTGGAGTTTCTAAATAAAGCTGGTTTGCTGCTGGAGGAGCTGACCTTCGCTTTCTCCAGCTGCTGAAGGTCAGATCCCAGTGCAGAGGAGTTCTCATCTTGGAGCGCACCAGTAAGATGTGATGCTGGCGTGCTTTTATGTTCAGACTCACTTAACAAGTGCAAATTAGCTGATTTCCCTTCTAGCTGAGAATGGAACAAGTGAAGTTGCTACACAGTAGCATAAAGCATATGACATAAAACTCAGTGCAAAGTGGCATAGGAGGGGAAGGTTGATTTAGTTTTAAAATGAAATGACTGTTTTTATGTGGTCCTATTGCTACAGCTGCAGAAGCACCAAGAGAAATTTGTCCCAGTTTTTGTGTGTGTGCTACTTGTGATGACATGGAGCATAAAAGTCGCTGGTTTCATGTCTCCAGGATTCTCCTTCAGTTAGTGCCCCTTAGTTTTGGATGCATCTTCTGTATGCTTTTGAAGCTGACAGTGATATTGTTTTTATTCTGTCCACCTCTGCCAGTCACTAGGATTTAACCTTTTTTTGTCTCCTTTTGTAGCTATTTTGTGCCTCCACCCCTGTTCTTTATCTTCCCACAATGGCTTGATGCTGTAGATCATCCTTTTATTTAGTCTTGATGGAGGCCATCCCTTTGTTTTAGGTTGTCCCTTGTTTGTTCTGTCTTCTAACCTGAATTTCCTGAGAAGCTTCATGTTGATGTGCTTGATGACATTGATCTAGGTGCTGCCAATACCTGCCACACTTACAGTAAAGCTCCTGCTATGCATTTCTTTTGGTACTTCTACTCACAGACCAAGCCTTTCATTCTCCACTCAGGTCAATCTTAATGTTTCCATTACAAATGGAAATGTGAAAGGCAAACGGAAGAAATGTAGCTTTCTTCAAATCCAATTCCTGGCATTTTGACTTCTCTTTCCAGTGAGCCCACGTCCTCCTCACAAAGTTAAAAACTCAAGCTTCCTTTCTGCTACTATGAATTACTGTACCTCAGTAATCTTAAGTACTGTCCTTTGTTACTTAATCCCCCCCAGCATCTAAATTTTGTAAATGTGGACTCCATGAGTGGCCTTGATCACTTTTGGTTCCCACTCAAACTGTAGTTGTATTAAAATTGGGAACTTGAGAGCGTTCTCGGACGATTTTCTTGCTGTCTGAGCCTTTGAGTAGATTCTTCCGCGTATCTTGCTGAAAGCGTTGGCACATCTCAATTTGTATTTGCTGATGGTGGAGATTTTCCTGGTTCTGTGATAGTTTTCATATAAAATAGTTCTTGATTTCAAAGAGGAATAAGGCTAGCCAAATGTTCTTTTCCTGTTTGCAAGTAATTTTTGTGCAGTTGCATTCAGAATAGAAAATATAGAAGGTGACTTTTGTTTTTTAAATAGAAGATATCCCAGCAGGAAATACCACATCTCAACTGCTCTGAAATCCCCTGAACCTTACAGTCATCCTGCCAGGGGTGATAAGGAGCCCCAGGTGAAGAGGAGAGGGGGTGAAATCCTCTCATGAGTGTCATGCAGGCTGCGCTGAGCAGGATTGGCCAAAGACTGGCGAGTTGGGTCCTCCATGGGCCTGGTAACTTTCTGGAAGAGTAGAAAATTCCTTCCCACCTCTAGCCCCTGTTTTTTGTTTGGGGATTGTTTTATTTTATTTTATTTTATTTTATTTTATTTTATTTTATTTTATTTTATTTTATTTTATTTTATTTTATTTTATTTTATTTTATTTTATTTTATTTTATTTTATTTTATTTTATTTTATTTATTTTATTTTATTTTTTTTAATGAAGTGCTAGTTAAACATATGGAGAAGCCCAACAAATGCCCAAATCCCCCTGCTCTTTGGCATGAAATAAGATTGGCAGGAGAGGAGTGAGAAGGTGTCTAGAGTAGAGTGGGAACTTCCACTTTCCATCAGGAACGAGTTCAGCAGGGAGAGATCATTGCAGCACAAGAAATGGTGCGATTTGGCAAAATTGCAGTAAAGCACAGTAAAGCTGATTGCGCAGCTAGATGCTGTGAGAAACTGAGGTTTTGCTGCTTTCCTCCAAAATCCAGAATGTACATTCCTATTGCTCTGCTTCCAACCTCTGCAGAATAGCAAAGGAATGAACCATGTAGAAAACCAAACCAAAGGAAAAAACAAACAAACAAACAAACAAAGAAAACAACCAAATCTACCAAGCAATTAAATCCCCATATTTTAATGCTACCTTACTTCTGTGAGTTTGACACACCATTGGCTCAGACAAGCAGTAACAAAAGAGATGCAGCAGGAGGGTTTGGGTGAAGCTAGTGGCCGTCTTCTTTTGGTGGAGGTGAACTGTCTCCCTGCCTCAGCTCCCCATTTTCTCCAGCAATATGCTACCTGGTAGTAGGGGTCGCTTAAACATCATCCTAAATCTTTCAGTGAAGCTAAACACTTACTCATTTGCTTTTACCACTATTGCAGTTTTGTGATTTTTTTAAAAACTCTTGTATATATGTATAAATCTATACATTATCACCATCATTGTAATTTATCAGTCGATTGCTAGATTTCAAAATTCTCAGATGGATTTTCTGGAGAAACAGTCTTTCGCAAAACAATTTTTCAGTGCTGTAGATATTTGCAAGATCTGGATTGCTCTTGAACTAGCAACGATCTCGTGTTTCCTTCCACAATAGCATAGCTTGCCAACATGCTATCAAATTAATGTATGTGAAAATATGTTAAAGAGTAAAACTGGAATTAAGAAAATAATTTTCTGCTTTACTAGCTCTGCGTCCCTGTGACATCTCAAAAGGCTACATAGAAGGGTAGGGGGAAAGTGAGTTTAAAGCAAGCTATTCAACTGCCACCTCTGCCACCTGAATATTGTCAGAGAATATAGGGACTCCAAGTGAGTAATAATGCAAGTCCGAGGTAGGACAGGTCAGAGAGAAGCTTTTTTTAAACTATGATTGTATTGAAAGCACATTCAGACAGCAACTCCCCCTATACCCCTGTTCTTTGCCAAGTGACTGCAGAGACCTGACTATGCTGTTTCAAAGAAAAGGAAGAGGTAAGGAGAAAAAATCATTCTAATGCAAACAAAGCTAGGTCTACATCCTTGGGATGGATGGACTCCAGAAGATAACTTACATGTTAACAAGGCATGTACCCATGCATGGGGGAGATGGCAGTTAACAAGGTACTTGAGGAGTTCACAATTGTGACAATATGGAGCTGGCTCTTGGTGGAGCCTGTAAGAGTGGCACATCCAGTATGATCTTAGCTGAGAAGTGGGGATTGGAAACCATCACAGACTGCTAGCTTTTAATCAAAAAAGGCTGTTTTAGTTATTGCAAACTTCTTAGCAAGACCTCTACTATCTTGAATAGTAATATTTTTGCTATCAAAATATGTCACATGGAAACCCTTTGGAAGACTACTGTATATTAGACTCACTACACAAGTAAACAAAAATGTACAATGCAGCAAGAAAAATTTCTACAGTCTTTCCATCACAAAATGTTTGATGTGCTTTTATTATTGTGATCCGGTTGACTTCTAGAGAGTAAAGAAAGACAAGAGTCATGAGACTAAATTTTATCAAGGTGGTTGCTGATCAATGGACTTTTGAACCAGAGCAGGAAGTAGAAATAGAAAAAGGAAAAAGCTCAAGAATTCTGATCCTTGAGGGTGATATCAATTACTTCTCACTTCTGATGGGGCGTTTCGCAAGACTTCTGTGCGAGCTATAAATCTGGGTGAGTTGCATCGTGTGACTGAAAGCAGCAGACTGGAGGAAGTGCCAACAACTCTCCACATCTGAGAAGCTGGCATTGAGGTGAGATGCACACTTTTTATGTGAAAGCTTTAAATATCTTTCTGGGTAGCTACTATGAAATGAAGTTGAAGAGGTTTTAGTTTGGGATGAGAGCTACAACATGTATGTGTGGATCTGATGTCTGTCATTTACAGAGGCTTGATGCACCCTTCAGGTAATGAGAAGAGCACTATAGGATAACCATACCTAGTAAAGCGAGGGCTTGGAAGGAGACATTACTACAGAAATTCCAAGGGGTGAAATAAAATACTTTACAAGAGAATCTTGGGACTAGAATCTGTATGTTGTCAGAAATTAACAACTTTATTTAATATTAATGTTATTATTACTAGCAGTAGTAGTACAGATAAGTCAATAAACACCATCAAAGTCATTGTAGTCATAAAATAGTGTTCTAGCAACCAATAAATTGCACTTTCATTTAGAAGTTAATTGAATGTTTCACTAGTTTTTTACATACTATATAGTGAGTTGTGAACTGCTGTCAAAGCAGCCCACACCTATTTCTAAAGTAATTCTCAAATGCAGTGTCAGTCATGAATTGAAAGACTCATTGTAAGAGACTAAGAAGCTAAAACAAAAGAATGTCCCAAAAACTCAGCAGAGAATGGTGATACGGTCAGAAAAGAGGATCCTGCTAGGGCTGGATAGTGCTTTTCTGAGGCCAACGTCCTTATCCTGGGTAACCTTCTGAGATACCTTCTGGTATCCGAGGTTCTGGCAGCTGTGGTCAGAAAGGTATTAGCAATCTCTCTCTCCGCCTTCCCCTCAAGAAGGCTCTGGGACACAGGATGCACATATTACCATATAAAGCAGGAACTGGAGGTGGGGACTAGCTGTAATTAGGATACAAAGTGAGAACTGGAATTGAGTCCGGCGTATAAATAGTGCGACTCAGAAGGGCTTTGTGTGCACCCACCACCATCGCAGACAGAACAGGAACTGGACCAGAGACATCGCTGGAACCCAGGGTGGTAATCTGGACCTTTCCTTTACCATCTTTCTCTGTCTCCCTCTCTTTCTCCTATGCTACGGCCCATTCAGCCCTCTGTGAAATAATGAGATGTAAATAGCTCCCATTATAGATAGGAAGGTTTGATCAATTTCTGCAAGAATAGCTCTTGTTATTTTATTAACTTTTGCTAAATGTTAATAACACCAAACAATAGTTTGAAAAGTTTTATATCACTTAAATTTACTCCAAGATAGTTACACAACTAAGACCTGATAGATTTGATGCATATCTCATTTTACTCTTAATTTTTCCTTCCAAATTCAAATTTATGCATCATGCCCTCAGTTTCGTCCAACAGCTGTTTTATTCATTCCTTGCTATAACTGTTCTAATTGTCCCATTCTTCTTTTTCCCTCTCCATTGCCTTGCGTCTTTTGTGGAAGGGCTTCTTACAAGTATTGTTTGTTTTCTGTTTTCCTTTTCTGCAGGCTGTCATCTGACATCTACAGCAACAACTCCAAATTACAGAAACACTGCTGAGATGGGGAAAATCATCATTTATGAGCACGCCAACTTCCAGGGGCACTCCAAAGAACTCACCAGAGACGTTGCCAATCTGACAGATGTAGATTGGAATGACTGTATCTCCTCAGTGAAAGTAATTGGACAGCCTTGGGTGGCTTATGAGCACATTAACTATACAGGCCGGTTACTGGTATTTGAGGAGGGAGAGCATAGCTTTGTTGGTAAAGAGATGAATGACAAGATCACTTCCCTGATGTTGATTACTGAAAATTTACACAATCCACAGATCACTATCTATGAACATAACCAATATCAAGGGAAGAGCAGGGTGATAACAGAAGCTACCAATTTGGATAGGGGTAATGACAATGACATGGCATCTTCTCATAAAGTGCAGCAAGGTGCCTGGCTGTTGTGTGAACATAGCGATGGAAGTGGTTTTTGCTACATTGCACGAGAGCATGAACACCTTCCAAGTTACAGAGCAATCAATTTCAATGACAAGCTTTCATTTCTGCGTCCCCTTCTCCCTGGAAAGCATTGTCACTGATGGATTGCAAATTCTGAAGTCCTAAGGGTAGGTGTAGCCCTAGCAAGAAAGATGGGACCTAGATCTCTCTGCTTTTTTTTTTTTTTTTTTTTTTATTTCCCCTTTTGGCATAGAAATACTGAATGGGAGAGGTCTCCTTTATGCTATGCTGCTGCTGTGTATTTCTCAATCCTGTGTGGCACTGTTCTCCTTCCCCATGATCCCAATGAATGTAAGAACTATTGTGTTTAGTTACATGAAAAAAACCTCAATGATAAGAGATGATCTTGTGGTGCGTAACCTGTAACTAGCATTCCAAAGTACTACACCATGTAACGTGAAAATGTTGCATGTTGCTTCTGTTGCTATAGGCTAAGCACATATATAGTGTATAACCAGAACTGCTGACTTTATATTCTTCTTTACAATGCTCTTGCTTCACAATGACCTCTGCATTTTTTTTCTATTCCATTTTGCGTTGTTACCAATAAAGAAGATATTGCAGGCAACAATGGCTCTATTTTATGTCTTCTTTGTGGTTTGACAGAGAAATATTACCCTTATATATTATGTGATTTCTGTGCGTTAAGAGAATGGTTCACACAGTCAGATCCATGAAAAAGATTTTGAAGTCTTCTGAAAGGTTTTATTTCCTTCCATTTTCATTTGTCGGTAATGTTAGTTTCAGGCATGACTCAGTGTGATGTCACTTAATGGTCATCTTGTTAAGTCACTGTCTTATTTATGATTAAGTTTGTTAGATCATTGCATTATATCAATAAATATATTGCTGCTTCCCTCCCATGAGGGAAGTGTGTAATTCCATTTGTGACATTCAACCAGTCTTAAAGTCTTGGTGAGCATGCTAATATTGCTATCAACATGGCCAAACACAAACTTGGAAACTTTACTGAATGATCACAATACTGATTGTGTCCTAAGGCACTGATCATACTTACAATTTATTGTCTTCTATGCTCTCAAATATATATTCAAACGGAAATTTCTGATAAATTGTAATTGATTGGTTGACCGCAATAGGAACTCCTGAGGATTTTTAAACCCTTTTTATCTTGATATGAGATGATGTATTATTTTGAAGTCACAGTGTTTTAATCAGAATGGAAAAACCCTTTCTTCCAAAGAAACCCTTTCTTCAAAGCCATTATAATAATACTGAGAAATTTTGAAATATTGAAATATGCAAGGTGTAATTAAAGATGTGGGATCACACATTTCAGAAACTGTTTTGTCATATACAGGTTTACCTGGAGAATGCAGAATTGCAGTTTTGAAATACCCCTGTTGAATGTCAGTTGCACTCTCTTTTTTGGCAGTTGTGCAGCTCTGTATTGCAAAGTTCATCTATCTGAGTGCTGAGCTCCTGTTTGCCACTCTGTTCTTGTAGTTAGAAGTAAAACTTACAGCATGCTGTGCTATCATCTGCTGGGCTTTGTCCTGTTTTAAAACAAACGTCAGTCACTTGTGGTCCTTTTCTAGGCTTGTGTGTGTGGATGCAAATGTACAATATACAAATATACACCTTCTTGGAGCTGTTCAAGACCAGGTTAGATGATGCTCTGAGCAACCTGATCGAGTGGGTCGTGTCCCTGCCTATGGCAGGGGAATTGGAGCTAGATGATCTTTAAGATCCCTTCCAACTGAAGCCATTCTATGAATCCATGATTCTATGATCGTTCAGGGTTCATGTGTGATGGGACACTTCTTACTACTTTGGAGACAATTTCTGGTTTCCTTGCTTTACTCACCACAGATCTTCTTTTATAGGGATTCCAAAACTCAATTCAAAGAACACTGAGAATTGTATCTACTCTAGGCCAAAATAATTTGGACACTGAGAAATTTTCGGAGAAAGCCAACTGTAAAGAAAGGAACCAAATAGTTAAATCCCTTAAACACTTCCAGGGATGGGGCGTGCACAACTGCCCTGGGCAACCTGTTCCAGTGCCTCACCACCTCTGAGAGAAGAATTTCCTCTTAACTTCTAATTTAAACCTCCCCTCTTTTAGTTTAAAACCATTACTCCCAGTCCCATTGCTACACGCTTTGATGAATAGTCCCTCCCCAGTTTTCCTCTTTCCTTTAAGTATTGGAAAGCCCCTATAAGGTTTCCCCTGGTCCCTCTTAAACTAGGCATAATATAGAGTAAAAACAGTGATTCCAATATAAACAATCATTTGAAAACGGTCATAGAGGGCATTCTTACTTATCCACAGTGAAGTACAATAGACCTTTGAAGAGAATTCTGAATAAGGAAAGCTTATAACCTGTGTTATTCTAGAAAGAGATGTCTAGAGAAGGATCAAACAGGATGCACATCTCTAAGAATTGATACACAAACAGGCTGAACTTCTCTGTGCTTAATTAGAAATGTCTGCAGAGCAAGTTCAGACATGTTTGGCTAATCAGAACATAAAATTTAGGCTTAAGGTCAGGACTTCTCTGAACAGAAACAGCTTGATGATTAAGCATACCCACTTATTTTGTTTCAATGCAGTGTTATATTGCTGAAGAAATAACTGGATGAGGGTGGAAAGGCCTTGCAGAGAGAGCGGGACAGAATGGAGAGCTGGGCGATCACCACCCACGTGAAGTTTAACAAGAGCAAGTGCCGGGTCCTGCACCTGGGATGGGGCAACCCTGGCTATACGTACAGACTGGGTGACAAGACGCTGGAGAGCAGCCCCACAGAGAGGGATCTGGGGGTTGTGGTTGACAGCAAGTTGAATGTGAGCCAGCAGTGTGCAGCCAGGAGGGCCAACCTTATCCTGGGGTGCATCAAGCACGGCATCACTACTTGGTTGAGGGAGGTGATTGTCCCGCTCTGCTCTGCGCTGGTGTGGCCTCACCCCGAGTACTGTGTGCAGTTCTGGGCACCACAGTCCAAGAAGGACATGAAACAGTTGGAGAGTTCCATAGGAGGGCGACAAAGATGGTGAAGGGCCTGGAGGGGAAGACGTATGAGGAGTGGCTGAGGGCACTGGGCCTGTTCAGCCTGCAGAAGAGGAGGCTGAGGGGGGACCTCATCGCAGTCTACAACTTCCTTGCAAGGGGGAGTGGAGAGGCAGGTGACCTATTATCTGTAAACACCAGCGATAGGACCTGTGGGAATGGTGTTAAGCTGAGTCAGGGGAAGATTAGGCTGGACATCAGGAAGAGGTTCCTCACTGAGAGAGTGGTTGCACACTGGAACAGGCTCCCCAGGGAAGTAGTCACTGCACCAAGCCTGTCTGAATTTAAAAAGCAATTGGAGTGTGCACTTAGTAACATGGTCTAAACTTTTGGATAGACCTGTGCGGTGCCAGGAGTTGGACTTGATGATCCTTAGGAGTCCCTTCCAACTCGGGGTATTCTCTGATACTATGATTTCTTATGACTTGATGTATACTGGGGTATTAGACTGTCTTTTTGCAGGCTCTGTGACTGAAATGAATTTACAATTAGACTTCTGTAAAAGAAAACCAGACAACCAGTGGACAGGCTGTGGAGACATACCCCTGAAAATGTGAACCAGCTATGCTCCAATGCTGGCAGTCTAATGGGAAGAATCATGTAATGAATATCTTAAAATCACTTGCTTTTCAGTGCAATACTGAAAGTTAAAAGGGTAGCATCTCAGCTACGATTATGTAGTGTTTGGTTGCTTGTTTTTAAAACAGTGTACGGGTTGGATGAAGTGGAAAAATACTGGGGTTGTTAATGGTCATGACTGGTGTTGTCTTTTGTCTATAGTAGTAAATCTAGATACTTGGGGCTGGCGGTTATGTCTGGACCACTTTCAAGCTGTATGTGTGAAATTCTCCCATTCTACTGTATTCATCAGCAGAGATGACTGGCCCAGAAGCATTTTTGCTAATATGCAAAACGGTTTTAGTGAGGCAGATGTATCTGCTGCTCAAAAATGCAATGATTACATGTTCCACAGCTAGCTGGTAAGGACTCCCTCTTCTCGGAAATGGCTTTCATGATGTTGCTCAGTTCAAGTTCAGCAAGGATCAGTCATTGGTCAGTCTTGTGTCTTCTGTTTATTTTTGGTCATTATATTTTTGTTTTTACTTTTTTTTTTTTTTTTTGCTTTAATTTTAAGTTATTTTATTTTAACCAAGATCTCCCTGATCTGCCTGTGGGCTTTTCTTAGCAAGGTCTAGCAGTACTGAGAAGGAAGAGCAGGTCTGGAGGTGGATGAAGCTTAATTCAGTTTTTCTACCATTTTACCTTTTCCAACACTGTGAAGAGATTACACGAGTGCCATCCACAGCTTACTGTTGAATTATTTTATCACCCCTCAATGCAGCAGAAAATAGATTCCAATAGTGCAATGAAGATGAAGCCAACCAGAGGAAATAAAAGTAAGGAAATGCATGAGTCTTGATGTATTTGTAAATGACTCTCTGGGAGAAGAAAAATGCACTTGTAAAAAATAAACTCAGTACAAGGTCTATTAAAAATCAAATTTTATGAAAAATGTAAAAATCCTTTAGTCATTTTTGTTCCAAGTCAGAATAAGTCTTTATTTGTTCAAGTGGCTTTTGTATAATATAGTTCCGCACATTTTCAAAAACTTTACATGTTTGTGTTCATCTTGCTCATTCTTCTCTTTTGTCCATTGAAGGCATAGAGGAAGAGGTTTTTAATCTTTTTTCCTTTTTTCCTTTTATTCTCTTTCTATTTTTGTCACAATCTCTTGCCAAATTTGATAAATATATTAAGATCAAGTAAGATTAAGATCAACTCTGAGAGTAAAAAAGATAAAAGGTTTTACGCATTACTATTAATATTTACAAAAAACAACCAACCAAACAAAAAAGCCACACAAAAACACTGTAAATGTTTAACAATATTTAATAATATTTAATAAACAATCTCCAACTCTTAGCTTCCTTCGTGGTATTCTGCTACGTTCAGTGACTTTTACTTCCTTGTGCAATAAGCACAGTGTAAATGAGTTGACAGATTTGAAAATCCATTTTGTTTTTATCCTCATAACAATGGAGAATATGGTCATGGAAACAAAGACCTTCTTTATTTATGGGCTTGTGAGTGTGTACGCAGAGATCCTTTGCCAAGCTTTTCTGTCAGCACATTTCATATGTAACATGTTTTGATTTTCCTCATTGCCACAAGATTATCCACTGCCAGCTTTGGTGCCCTGCAAAGCGAATGTGGAGGACCTAGGAGCTCCCTGTTGCCTGCATCACTCAAAAAACAACATACTGGCATGCTACCAAGAAGAGGTGTACTTTTTCTGACAGCATAAATTCATCCTAGTCTGAGCCATTTCAGTCCTTTTTGTTCTGAACTTTCCTCCCTTCTGAGTGCTCATTCTCCCTTCTCTTACGGTATGGTGGGCACTGTGGCTTATGCTGCAAAACCGCTCTTTTTGCTTGCGACGTTTTCTACCAGATCAGCATCCTGAAAGTTGCTCATTGCATAAAGAAATGAGCATTACATTCTGCACAAGAAAAAGTAAAATGCCCTCT